ACAAATTTAATTAACACATTATTTTTTTAGCGAACATCATCAGCATGGAAGCATGTCCTCTGGAATGGTGGCCAAAACATGAAGGGACATATGAATGTTTAGCATATCTGACAAGTAAATACCTTGCAATGTCAGCTACAAAAGTGCCATGTGAATGCCTGTTCTCACTTTCAGATGACACTGTAAATAAGAAGCAAGGAGCATTATCTCTGTAAATGTAAACCAACTTGGTTGCCTTAGCAATTGGCTGAACAAGAAGTAGGACTGAGTGGACTTGTAGGCTTTAAAATTTTACATTGTTTTCTTTTTGAGTGCAGTTATGTAACAAAAATATTCTACATTTGTAAGTTACACTTTCATGATAACGAGATTGCACTACAGTACTTATATGAGGTGAATAGAAAAATAGTATTTCTTTTGTTTATCATTTTTACAGTGTAAATATTTGTAATCAAAAATAATAATATAAAGTGAGCACTGTACACTTTGTATTCTGTGTTGTAATAGAAATCAATGTATTTGAAAATGTAGAAAAACATCCAAATTATTTAATACATTTTAATTAGTATTCTATTGTTTAGCATTGCGATTAATCACAATTCATTTTTTTAATCACAATAAAAAATTTTGAGTTAATTGCATGAGTTAACTGCGATTCATTGACAGCCCTAGTAAATAAGCATATCAACATGAACTGAAGACAGAATCTCAGCCTTAGCTTAAAATTTCCTGGATTTTTGTCAGTTTGAAGCACACTCTTACTGCTATTTAAACTGGGTCTGCCAAATGATTTAAAATTAATCATAATTAATTATAAGATTAAAAAAACAAAAGTGATTAATCACAGTTTTAATCGCACTGTTAAACAATAATAGAATACCATTTATTTAAATATTTTTGTATATTTTCTACATTTCTACATCCAAAAATATTTAAATAAATAGTATTCTAGTACTGTTTACCAGTGCAATTAATCACACGATTAATCACGATTAATTTTTTTAATCACTTGACAGCCCTATATATTTTATTTAAAATATTTGCACTATAAAAGAGATAAACTAAAGAAATAGTATTTTTCAATTCACCTCATACAAGTACTGTAGTGCAATCTCTTTATTGTGAAAGTGCAACTAACAAATGTAGAATTATTATTTTTACATAACTACACTCAACAACAAAACAATGTACAACTTTAGAACTTACAAGTCCACTCAGTCCTACCTCTTGGTCAGCCAATCACTAAGACAAAGAACTTTGTTTACATTTACAGGAGATAATGCTGCCTGCTTCTTATTTGCACCTGAAAGTGAGAGCAGGCATTCACATGGCACTGTTGTTGCCTGTGTTCCAAGGTATTTACATGCCAGAGATGCTAAACATTTGTATGCCCATTCAGGCTTCAACAACCATTCCAGAGAACATGCTGGATATAAAGTGAGCACTATACATTTTGTATTCTGTTTTGTAACTGAAATCAATATATTTAAAAATGTGAAAAAACATCCCAAAATGTTTATAATAAATTTCAATTGGTATTCTATTATTGTTTAACAGTGTGATTAAAACTGCAATTAATTGCGGTTAATTTTTTTAATCGAGTTAATTTGTTTTGAGTTAATCGCTTGAGTTAACTGCAATTAATTGATATCTCTAAATTAAACATAAGTTTTCTTGTAGTTTAATCTGAAGAAAAGAAAGACGGGAGCTATGAAGCAAACATGTTCATTTTGCCCATGAGATCAGAATGTTTCCTACAAGGTTATTCCAGTCTCTCAGATGTATTAAAGTGATTAAAAAAAGTTGTTTATTATTTCCTTTGTAAGAATACTTGAGATATTCTATGAATATTTCTCAGCTGTTAGTACCCATGTTATTTACCAAATTGGCTCCTTTGGGCCAGTTATTGTTTATCAGGTAAATATGTATTTTGGTACATGTCCAAAATTTATGATTTACTCACTTACATTGTAAAGACTCCTGTTGAACCAATATGGTCCATTATGTAAATCTGTGTTAGTTCACAGATTCTTGACTTTATAGACTGTACTGGCTCCAATCTATTGTGCTAATCCAGCTGTTGCACATGCACATTAAGGCCCATTAAAACTGAGTAATAAAAATCCTTAAGGAATTTGAAAATAAAATAAGTCATTCACTGTCTAATCCCAATCGGTTGAACCTAACCAAAACTGAGGTGATGCTGATATGAAGACAAAAGCACTTTGAAAAACTTGCCTCTTCTGGAATACACTTTAATTGACCTCAGATAGTCAATTGCTCCTCAGTCTCAAGGATCTTTTACCTCTCCATGCCCAGACAGTCATGATGGAAACTCCCCTTCCCCTCCCCCCACCTCCCAAAAAACCCCCACCCTCCCACTTACACATATCAACTATATTGATCCTATAGGATATGGACCTGGCCATGCTGATCTATGAAGTCGTGACCTCCAGGATTAGTTATTGCCATAGAGTGGCTCTGGCCATCTGACAGACTGACTCTTCCTCCATCTCTATGGCCTCCCGTGAGTGCTGCATACCACTGGAACAACTGAACTGTTGTTGACCAATATGGGGAGACTTGTATGTGTGGGATACAGAATTTTCACAGGAGCGGTGCGGGCCGAGGGATGTGCTGGCCGAGGCTTCCCGCAGCCCCCATTGGCCTGCAGCAGCGAACCACGGCCAGTGGGAGCCGCAAATCGGCCAAACCTGCAGACGCTGCAGGTAAACAAACTGGCCCGGCCTGCCCGGGGGGCTTACCCTGGTGGGCCGCGTGCCAAAGGTTGCCAATCCCTGACCTAGACTGTGAAATGCACTACTGCCAAACATAAGAATGGCCACAGACCTCACTCCTTTCTGAATGCCATTTCTTTAACTTTGCTTGCCCTCACAAAAATTGTTCACACTGCAACAAATTTCAGTAACTACATATTACAGGCTAAGAAAGAAGAGAGAGACTGTGAGCTATTCAAGTACTATGGTGATGGAGGCCACATACATAGGTAGCTAGAAAGAAACTGAGTTTGTTCTAGAATTTTAATAAAATTAGTGGTATCACTCATGTGTTACAATAGCAGAACTGACCATTTTGTAACTCTATGGTTTAAATGTTCTCTAATATGAGATATACAACTGGGTTCACACAAGATCCATTAGCTTTCCCATAGCATATTTCTGTAAATAAAAGGGTCTCGGGAATTTTGAGACATACCTTTGGTTGAGTTCAAACTACCACAGTGATGAGACTGAGACTGCTTCACACTATACCAAGCACCCTGTATAGTAAGGATTTCCCTGCTACTGCTCTGGAAGTGAGACACATGCCGAGAAAAGTTAATGTTTTTGATTTACATTAATGCTTCTGGGTGAACCTCAAATGCATGAAGTTTGAGAGTGTGTTAGATAACCACCACGGCACAATAAAGTTTTACAAGAACTATTTGGGAAATTATATTTTTTTTCCAACAAAAAAGTTAACAAAAAATCTTTTTCAAGTAAAATGGACATTTTTCATGGAAATTTTTCATTTGTCAAAAAATCCCCCTTATTTTGATGAAAAGTTTTTGACTTGCTCTATTTTTTACATCAATGTCACAATGGAATTAAACAGTAGTATTAGATAATTTAGGGTTAATTGTGTCTTTAAGATGTCACCTCTGGACAAGCTAACAGATGAGTTCTTCAAAGAACTAGAATACCCTCTTGAATGCACCAGTTGCTACTCCCCCATGGGATACCACTGATTCCCATGCTCCACTTCTAATCCTCTGGCTTGTGTAGAGAAGGGAGTAAGGTAATGGCTAGTTTCCTCTCTTGTCACCATGAGACACTGTAAACTCCTGAGAGCGTAGAGGGGAAGCAGCCCATCTGCGCCAATGAGTACAGGGACCAGAACTACATCTGGTCCATTCCTTAGGATGAGCTGTATAAAGGGTGGTAAGCTATTAACACCTTTTCCCTTCCCAGTGCTCTCAGTTAAGGTTCCAGAGAGAAACTGTCCCTTGCTGTGTAGGATGCTCGGTATAGCTTGAAGCAGAGTGTCTCAGCCTATGTTGTCTTCATCTTTGGTTGTAAAATTTGCCTAGACAGGAACCCAATTCTTTTTATAAGCTCAACAAAATAAGGCAAATATCACATACCTGCCAGCAACCTTCCTGGAGCATATATAGAGATTTTGTTATCGGGATCTGGATTCATTAATGAAGAGTAATTGAGAAGAGCTCTTGGGATACTTTATTTGCAATTGCTTGATGACCTGTGATATCACTAATTTGATGGAAGAAAAAAAAATTTCCACCATGGTAGGACACTTTCCCATGCAACTCCTGAATTAATTCTGCTGGCATCATTGTGGTACACAGCATAGCAACATAGGGACCGGGACTATACCCAGATGCTTGCAGGATCTCCTTCCTTTCCGCCTCTGTTACCCTCAGGAGACTGATATCACATAGTGTCTCCGAGGAGAAATGGGTGAAGTTCTCATTAAAAGTTCTCTTACACAGAAAAAAGGGCATGGAGACCCTCCCCACCCCCTCACATTCTGGATCGCCAAACCACACAGCTGCTAATGTGCCTTCACTGTGTTTGGCCTGGGTAGGCAAGTAGTTTAAAGTGTCTGATAGGGGACTGGGGACCCACATGAGAGATTCCGCAATTTGGGAGTGAAAATGTTCCCCTCCCCCAATCCTGTTCGTAAACAGCTTCTCGGGGTCCTATAGGGAAGAGCCATTGTTCGACTAGCTACCTGCGCTCCCGACTTCAGCTGCCATAAACTTCATTAAAAGTGTGGTCACCCATGACCCGGGGGGAGGCCTACTCACCATGGCTGGAGCAGCAAAACGGCACAGTGAATGGTTACAGATTCTGATTATGTTATGGCTTACACCTAGTGTACTAAGGTTTTTTGTTGTTTTTTTTTAATGAAAACGGCCTTGCTATGGAAACATTTTATTCATATACAATGGGTCCTTTATTTTTTCCCCTGACTGACAGCTGGAAATGTGTCCTTCGGCAGCTCATCAACATCTGAAAGCAGACTTTCGGTGATTAGAAGGAGGAGAAAGAGAACGCGGGAGGACATGTTCACCGAGATAACGAACACCTCCAGGACAGCTGACACAGAGCTGAGAGCATGGAGGATTTCACTATCCAAGAAGTTAGACATGGACATGGAGAGCAGAAAAGCTTCCAATGAGCGAGAGCGTGCGGTGCAGGATGAGATGCTTTGGATTATGAAGGACCAAGCAGACATGTTGAGACGTCTGCAGGAACAGAAGCAGGAGGGTAGAGTCCCTCTGCAGACCCTGGTGGACAGCCAGCCAGCATTGCCTCACACAGAATCACCCTCCACGAAGCATTCCATGAGGCATGGGTGAAAAGTCCATTATCCCTTTCACTTAACTTGGGGGTGGGAAGAGGGTACAAGGAACAGAAGGCACCCATTCACAGACCTTTGATGGTCTGGAATACAATGTTATGTTACACAGCTGAAAATGTTTTTCCCGTTCCAACTTTACAACCCTTTTCCCCAAGGTTACCTTTTCTTTCTGTTCTTCCTCTTTACTTTTGTTTGTTAAATAAAGTAAATGGATTTGAGAAATAAATGTTCTTTATTAGTAGAAGCGGTGGGCTTGGGCAGGTGGTTGGCTTTATAGGGAGTGTGATACAAGCCAGGTGAAGGTTTGGGAGAGCACAATGCAGACAAGCAGCTCACATTACTGGACTCATTACTGAAACATCTTTTCAAAGTCTCCCTGATACGCGGAGCTGTGCTCTTCTTATTGCCCTGGTGTCTGGCCGCTCAAAAATAGCTGCCAGGTGATCTCTCTCAACTGCCCACCCCTGCGGAAAATGTTCCCCCTTTTTTCCACAGATATTATGGAGCACACAGCAGGCAGCTCTAACAATAGGGATGTTCTCCTCACTAAGATCCAACCTTGTTAGTAGACTTCTCCAGCATCCTTTTAAACAACCAAAGGCACATTCAACCCACCATTCTGCACTTGTTGAGCCTTATAGTTGAACCATTCCTTCCTGCTCTCCAGACAGCTGGTGTATGGCTTCATGAGCCATGGGAGCAAGGGGTAGGCTCAGTCCCCCAGCATAACTATAGGCATCTCAACGTTGTCAATGTTCATTTTGTGGTCTGGAAAGAAAGTCATGGATTGCAGCTTTTCGAATAGACACAAGTTCCTAAAGATGCATGCGTTATGAATCTTTCCTGACCATCCTACATTGATGTAGGTGAAATGCCCCCTGTGATCCACCAGCGCTTACAACACCATTGAAAAGTATCCCTTTTGGTTTATGTACTCTTTGGCAAGGTGGTCTGGTGCCAAGATGGGGATATGTGTGCCAGCTATCACCCCACCGCAATTAGGGAACCCCATCGCAGTAAAACCATCAGCTATGTCCTGCACATTTCCCAGACTCACTACCTTTTGTAGCAGAAGCTGACTGATGGCCCTGCACACTTGGAGCACAAAAGCTCCCATGGTTGATTTACCTACTCCAAATTGATTCCCCACTGACCAGTAACTCTCTGTCGTTGCAAGCTTCCAAATAGCGATCATCACTTGCTTCTCCACTGTCAGAGCAGCTCTCATTTTTGTGTTGCTGAACTGCAGGACAGGGGAAAGCTCTGCACAAAATTACTGGAAGGTGGCCTTCTGCATTCGAAAGTTCTGCAGCCACTGCTCGTCATCTCAAATCTGCAAAACTATGTGGTCCCACCAGTCATTGCTTGTTTCAGGGGACCAGAAACAGCACTCAACAGAGTGCAGATGCTCTGTGACTGCCAGCAGCAACTGTGAATTGTTTTTTTCAATGGCTTGAAAATGGCAGGGCTGCATGCAGGACATCGCTATGTTCCACACAGTGGACCCTACTTAGGCTCTGGAAATAACTGCAAAAGAAGGTGTGAGGTGTTTAAAATGTTCACAGCAAGAGTGAACAGCTGAGCAGGCTCCATGCTTCTGGGGTTATGGTGTACACATGGCAGTTTTAAGGCATGAAAATAACGGGGTTGTTTGCTGTTGATGTTTGGGAGGGAGCACAGTGCATCATGGGATGCTGACACAATGTTCCCATTCTCCCCTGCGACAATGTTTTGGTCCGATGAGGCATTGTTCAAACTTCCCAATACACACTGAGGCAAGTTGCACTTTGGGATAGCTACCCACAATGCACTGTTTGGGCATCAGTGCTGTTGCTGCTAGTGAGGACACACTCCATTGAGACAATGAGTATTGGCCACACACAATCGACTTCATTAATTCGGGGGTCTGAGGTCAAATTAGATAAAGTTGACTTAATTTTGTAGTGTAGACAAGCTCTGAGAAAGACGGGGGATGTTGTTTATTCAAAGTAGAATGTGTAGAATTAAATAAGGTAAAAGTAGCTTCTCCAGAGATGACTTGCATTGACTGACCATTTAGTGAGGCCAAAGTGGGTTGAATAATCCATAGGTGTTATCCAGCAGCAGAAACTGGAAACAGCTGGCACATCTGCAGTGCACAACAAATTAAGTACATACTTTTGATAACAATCTATCTGTTCTTCCAAAATTACCACAAAGCACCACTGTGATGGAAGTTCCTGACTCAATTTGCTGATCTAGCCTGGTAAATAATTAGGAACATTATAATTAACACTGGTTGATGTTCACGTTGTAACAGTTCACAGTATAAATGGGAAACAATACTAAATATTTGTAGTAAATTTTTAATAGTCTAATTGGTCCATTCACCTAATAGTCCATTCACCCTCACGTTGCACTATTTAGGACATTTTGTAAATTTTTGGCAGTTATTTGAGGACAGTTTGAAAATCTCCTGATCCTTAAAATGATTTTCTGATGTTTAAATTAGAAAATAAACGTAAAAAGGAGCCCTGGTCTCTTTTTTCTATTTTATATATGATGGCAATCTCCTCCTCAATATGTTGTGTGCATAAAAATTACATGTGGTTAATAGATTCATTTATTTGCCAGTTCCCAGCTCTAAGTTTAATTATAATAGACTTGTGAGGACATGGGAACAATGACACATGTACACCATAGTATGGTTAAATGCAGAGGTTGAAACTTTATTAAAGCTATTAACTGAGAGAAAGCTCCCCTCAAACTACCCATAAAGACTGAAATTTAGTTGGGTACCAATGACCCAACTAAATGGGCACCAGTGACCCAACTTGAAAATTTGTATGAGGCTAGCACCCCTCTACACAGTCAGGCCTGCCCAGAGACACTGACTGGGAGCCAGAATGCAAACCCTTTCCCCTTCTCTTCACAGGAACTAGGAGAGATGAGGTATGGGGCGACCCATGTTCTATAAGACATGGAGCCATACCCCTTCACCATGCAATGTCGTGCTTGGGGCCTATGCCCAGCAGCCCATTGGGTGATAGGGACTTCACACTGGACTCTTTCTTCCCCCCACCAGTTGCACTGGAATCCACCAAAGTTGTGACAAATGTAACGTGAACCCCCAAACTGAAGTTCTGGGATGCTGGATGGAAAGTGAAAAAAACCCACACAGCACTTTTCTAGTTTTGCCATGTGGGAGAAAATTCTTCTAGACTCCAAATGAAAGATCAGCCTAGCCTGCAGCATCACTGGAGATTCAGCTCACTAGATAAGGGTGCTGCTGGAACAAAGAACCCAGCATGGCTACCTAATGTGCAGCCAACTTCTTTGCCCAGTGGCAGCAGGAATGAGGTGGACAGGCACCAATGTCCAGACATGGAGTGAAATAGCTCACCCCTCTCCCACACATGTCCCTATGACAGAGTCAAGGTGAAGAACGGTGGCAGGGAAAGGAATGAGAAAGAAGCCACACCTTCCCCGCCCCCCCCTTTTTATACCTGTGTGCATGTGCAAACATGCACAAACAAACAGAGTAGACCGTTGGGAGTGGGAGCAGGTGTAGCACTGCCCTAGCTGCTCCTCGCTGATATCTCTCTGCTCCTCCAGGGGATGGAGGGGAGGTGTCCAGTGCTCCTGGCCCCATGCACCCCAGCCAGCAGAGCGAGCACTTGTTATCTAATGGATAATTTATTCATCTCTGGTTGCAGTTCTACTTTATTAAGGTCCTGATTCAGCAAGGTACTTAAATATGTGTAATGGGGTTTCTTATGTGTTTAAAGTTAAGCATGTGTTTCAGTTCCATGCTGTACTGGGGCCATAGTAAACAGGAATGTGTCTGGAGTTACTGTTCCTGCTGGCATATTGTTTCAATTGTTCCTTCAAGAATGAGGGGAGAAAACAGCAAGTGGCTCCCCGTTGGATGAGTAACAGATCTACTCTGTCAGGAGGGATTGTCTCAGGTCTCATAACCAGGGACATCCTATTATTTTTTCTAGACACTATCCAAAATATGTGATGGCCTGTTTTTCAAGTATCACACCTTGTATCTGTGCTCCCTGGAAATATTTCAGACAGACATGCAACATTCCAAGCTGGTTGCTATAGAATGCCCTTCATCCTATCGAAATGAAAAATGATGGCAGCTCTTTCTTTGCAGTAAAATTAATGTCCCCCCCAACACAGCACATGCAGGAAGACTGACACAAAGCTCAAATTACAAAGTGAATGCAAACATAATGGAACTCTTGCATGAGAAGGGAGAGTAGAATTAGGTTGATATTTGGCTACCTTTTCAAATGGGCTTCACCCTGACCTCTAGATCTGAGCTTGTGATTTTACATGCATATATACTTTTTCACATTCGTTTTTATGCTTAAACTGTCAGCCCAATTTTATAGCCTGCTCTTGGAAATGTAACCCATTGAATACAAACATGCAGTACATAGAATACAAAATGGAAAGTGAAGTTTATATGTAGGTAAACTTTTAATATCCTTACCAGACATCATTTGTCATTACCAGACATTAAAAATCAATACTGTTAAGATTGAAAACAATTCAGCGATGTATCACATGCTTTGCCTAATTAAAAAAATGATCATGCAAAGAAGATTACTTACAATGAGTGAATAACAAACGTTCAAAATATGCCATGTAAGCAGGATTCAGAAAAAAAGGCCCTGTTATTAATAAGTGCAACTACCACACACTTCACTTTGGAAAGAATTCATGAACCATGCAGGTTTTGGACAAACTTAGTAATGGAAAAATCTTATGTGGAAGCTCTACAGAAGTCCTCCCTACGCATTCAGACAGGCTTTTTCCTTGAGAAAGAAAGACAGACCTGATGTTGGTATTTATTTTATTTCTAATAAAATGCTGTCACACTTAAATTCATGCATATTATATAGATTGCAGC